AAGAAATATTGTAAACAATAAACAGGAAAGTAAATAATGTTTCTGTGCGTATTTACAAATCAATCTTCACACAAAAAAATGAGTACAAACATTTGTAGCGAATTTTCAATCTTTAATATTCGTGTCCTGTTTTTTGACTCGATATCCCGTTACGGGCCTGGCCAACCAGCGATGACCTCTCAGCCATAGGATAAGGGGTTCGCGTGGTTAGCACGAAGACAGCGCCCCACTGAATATACTGGTCTTCATAAGCTTAGGGTGGGCTTTCTCACACAGCAATAGATACTGGTACATTTGTAAGGTAAGCGCACAGTTATAATTTGCCTCGGCCAGGAATCGAAGTCGGGGTAGCGCCGTGGAAAGCGAACACGCTAACCAATCCAAGAGGACTCATTAATACCCCAAAACTAACAAAACTATATAAAACTAGACGTAACCCATCAAAAAGTACGGGAAAAAATCAAACTCCCATATTAATCATTCATTATAATGAATAGCGGAACACAATCCTATTTCTTTAATACTAAGTTTAAACTTCAATTTCAAACATTCCTTTATAATAAGCAATAGACTTTACTAATTTATAATGGGTAAAATTGAATCTGACAGTGTCTTTACAATTAAGCTCGTGTAGCTTTTCTCTAATTACCGACGCTGTTCATTCCTAGCGCGCGTCGCATCTAGGGACATTTAATCCTTCTGCTTCCGCAGATCTCGAGTTCCGAAGCGCGTGAAAGTCCCGGGCGTTCGCGCAGCGCCGAGTTCTGCGATTACGTGCCAGAGCGATCGCCGCCTCTCCGCACTCAAACCGCGAAGCCGCACTGCGCCGCGCCGAGGAAACTACCGAATTTTACAGCCAGATGTCGCTTCAGTATCACATTTTATAGTGGCCAAGTGGTCTTAATTGTTTAATTCTTATGGAGACATTATATCCCCAAAATATGTTTTGGCAGCTTATCCTCAGACCTTTAATAATAATAATAATAATAATAATAATAATAATAATAATAATAATAATAGTAATGATAATAATGATAATAATAATAATAAGCAAAAGATCATTTCTATCTTATTTCAGATGCTCAAACTTTATTATAGAATATTGGGAGGCAGGAAATTATATTATAAGTTAATGGTTAACTATGTAAGTCATGCATTTTATTAACGCTGAATCTCTTCGTACATACGGGAGATACAAACAAATAAATTCAACAATGAGATATTTTCATGAGTTACTCTAGATTCATAAACCGCTACAGGTCGATGATTCAAGGAGACAAGTGTCCTTGAGAATTCCCAACCGAACAGTCATTAAGCGATGACGTGCCATATGATGCGTGAGGGTTCTGATTAAGGGGGAATTTTCAAAGGAAGTATCTTATTATGCTCTAATGATAACATTTAAGTCCACATGTTGAGGCATTTTAAATTTAAATTAATAAAGCAATTCATTATTTCTAAGATATTAATACTCCCTCATCATGTTTCTCGCATTGGATAGTTATTCACCTTCTCAATGGGCTTGAACCACTCATTTTAATCACGTTACCGAAGGTGTGCATGCTTTAGAGCGGATCAGACGTAAATTAGCTCACCAATCAAATACCGACAAGACTTTATATAATGATTCAATAATTAATACATAACTGCGAGTGCAGGCGGGTCTCTGGCTCGAACGCGCGGACTCAATTTACCTCGCGTGTCGAGCACTGTTATTGGGCGGAAATGCGCTAATGAGTCCAAATGCCCTAGTCATTCGCTAAATGGTCTCTTACGTTTTTCCAGATTCCGAGCGATCCTTATGCACTTTCTCCTGCTTGTTGGCGTCACAGTGATCTTGATTTCTCGCTCTAAAGTTCACTTCCTGAAAGAACATTTGGAACATTTTCGTCTTGGATCTCTTTGATGTGTTTGTAGTCTTAACAAAACGATATTTTTTTACTTCTTTCCTATCACAATTATTACAATATTACGCGAATTATGCTAAGGTAAAAAAATATATTTGAGACCGCAAACACATTATGACAACAAATTATTTACCAATTACATTTCCCAAAAGCAGCATTATGCTTCAAATCAACCGACGGTTTTAGTTCAGTAGTCATTTATGCATTTATTTTTTAACATGTGGTAAAGGTCAATTTTAAAATCATTGCAGAGTCTCTGACCGGGAGGACCTAGTTTCGAGAACCGGGAGTGGCGAACTAGCTACAAAGCTTGGTCAAATCCAGCTGCTGTCTAGAGGAGAATTCTAGCAGTCGGCTGCTCTGATCGGTAGTTGGCGAATGATAGAGAAAATTGGCCACGGATCTCGCACGATCTTTCCTTCCTCTTCCTTGTCCCATACTCACCCCTTACTTACACACACATGCACTACACTACCTGACATGTCGGGGGATTGGTCGGGATCTTAGAGCTTCCCCCGACTGGGGTGGTGTCACGCTGGTGGCAGATACCTGGTTGGAGAAAATCTCAAGAGACGATGTGCAGATCGACATCGGATCTCACTCTTCAGCGGAAGAATATCATCGCCACTTTATGGGAATGATGACCTTAGCAGTTTTAGAAGAATGACCTTAGCGAATTTAGGGAATTTTCTTTTTGGGTAATAATGTTTCTCCCCGTATTAATTGTTGAATTTGTGATAATGTATTTGGTTTAAAATAATTAGTTCTGATTAAAGGTTACTATTGTGTTTCAAATGAACTTTAATATTAAAAATATAAAAGTGGTAAATTTTTAACATTATATTTTTGTATTTAAAGACTATTTATTGGATCGTCTTTATCTCTGGTTATTTTATTTTTTGACATGTTTCCTTTTAAAAAGTTTTAGTCGCTGATCATCGTTTATTTAAAAAAAAACAATTGGAAGCTTACTTCGATGTAATCAAGGCATGCTTTTGTGAAATTGTCCTTGTCTGTCTGCACACTATGTTGTGAATATTGTAACAGTTCTGATTTATTTGTTGCTTCTTTTGCAGAAAAGAGAATTACTGTTGGTGGCTGTCGAAATAATTGCAAATTTACACCGCAAGCGTTCTAGTTTGTTTGGACTTTTCTTGTGATGGCTGAGGTATCAGTAGGTCTAAAACAGCAAGATTGTAATATTATCTAACCGTTCCCAATTATGCAATAATTCGAGAAAATATATACTAGTAAAGTTGTAGTAACGCTATTTTGGACATATCTCAATAGTATATGCACATTCATTTTACAAAGTTACTATATAATACTATATTCTAGTAAATTATATTTTATTTACTTTCTCGCCGACTTAAAAACCGAATGCAAATTTTCGAGAGGAAAACTCGCGTCCTGGTAACAAAAAAGTGGATAAATCGTATTTTTAAGTTACTTCCTTCAACACACTGTCTAGTCAGAAATGTTTTGTAGGCCCTTGATGGCGCAATATCAATTAATTGCATATCTGTCCGAATATCTGAAGTCAACTCTAGTGCCTAAACCAGTGCTTGCCCACTCAATGCTCTGTGACGTCACAACAATCTGCTCTCCTGCTCGTGCCGATCCACGGAGCATGGGAAGTACCCGACGCGGCGGCGGACCTACAGTGTTGCGATGATGGTACGGAAGAGGGAGAAAAGCGTTTGTTGGATAATAACGTCTTTAAATCGCAATTAAAATTATTTTAAATGTTTATGATTAAATAAAAATATGAACAATTAAAAAATAGAACATAGATTATTACATAACTCAAAGCAATATCCGACTGTGTTTATTGTAGCCAGTACCTGAAATTCCACTTCATTTACTCTAGTACATAACATTTTTTGGAAAAGAAAGTTTTAACATTTTAGTACTATAATATTTTATACAATGCTATATAATAAAACAATTTTAAGTTCGTCCCGAACCAATAATTAATGTTAACAAATAGATGCCCGGGAGGGGTCACGAGGGAGAATTTGAACTCTACGCTTGATTATTTCGTGTGCAGTTTTCTGAGAATGTTCTAAATTCTCGTGATTTTCTGTATCTTTTCGATAATTTTCTATCTACAAAATCCTTTACTCATCTCATGGTTGTAGGCTATCTGTCAATTCTCAGCAATTATTTTCATCCCGAGGGTTTCTCTGGGTTGCAAAGATGCGAAATGCCTCTGTAGGTTGAATTGAATAATTTTAATATACTCGTACTGCAGTTCTTTCGAATACACTAAACACTTTACCATTGTTGCAGTATCTACAAAAATAAACTTTTCTTCCCAAATCGAAAGAAAAATAAACAGACGTAAGTGGTCTTTTATGTTCCCTGAAATACAGGCAAGGGCCCTGTGCCAAGGTTGTTGACCCCTCCCCCTTTGCTGGCTCTGTGTCTCCGAGCGTCTTATGGGAAGGGGAACGCTGCCCTGATGTCATTTCTCCATCGGTTGGCAAACACTGGCCTATACCGTTGGGAATAATATCAATTATAGAGAAAATAGGAACTGGGGACCCTCTGAATTTGAAACTGATCTTTGGATTTTTGTGTGTACAGAACATGAAATCTCAATACTTTCAAACTTAAAAAAATAGCTCCAAACTTTTTGATTATTCTTCGTTCTGGAAAGAATGAAGAACGTTTAAAGGTATGGCACAACTCTCATTTTCGTTAAAATCTACGACTCTCAAATTGCAACATTTCAACGTTTTTTAACTACAATATTGAATATTGAATTTTTACTTTATTGAAATCTGTTCTTTAGGGAGAGATCTTGAAATAAAGTCTTGTATAATTTTTCGAAAATATGAGTTGTTCTCGCGTAATTTTGGGCAAAATGTAGTGAATTTTTAATCATTTTTTTCAAAAAATTTCTCCATTTTTTTAAAGCTTCTTCTTAGTGTATCGAAGGATGGAAAAAATTGGTGTTAGTCCCATTTTCGGTGAGATTTTTCTCTTAAGGGGTATCTGTTCTAAAAACGCATATCATTTAAAAATATTAGACACAATTTTTTGAAAAAAACGAGTAATTTTCAAGAAATTTTTGGGCTAATCATGAAATTATAAAAAAATAGTTTCTTTATAGTCCAAATGTTTTCTTCAATTTCTTTCTACGGATAGAACAGGGAACGCTTAAAAATAGCAGAGGATTCATTTTTGTTAAACATTCTGAATTATGGTGAGTTGTACATTTACAAATAACGCAAGAAAGAATGTACAGATGCAGACGCACTTGTTTTCAATGTAGAAGTATTCCCCAGATAAGAAGTAGCAGTCGGCGTAAGCCCTTCGATGTCGTGCATCGCTCGCCTCGCAAAGCCCCTGTTCCGCCTGCGCAGCCTTGTCCTTCAGCCGCGCCTGCGCTCGAGGCTGCGCCGGCGCCGCCGCCGCCGCTGCTGCGACGGGGAAATGCCAGCCGCCGTGCGGGGCCACGATGCCTTCGAAGCGCCCAACGGCCTTCCTTTGTCCAGCGCGCCGCCCTCCCTTCATGCCAAGCGAGTATACAGCTCTGCGGAAATTAAAACGCTAAGATCAAAGACCGCGAAGAGTTGCAAGACTACTTTGGTTATGGAGATCACATCGGCGTTGCGTCTGGTGAGAGAAAACTTTAGCTTGTTCCCAGAGGTATTTCTTTGCGGTTTTACTCATTAATGAAAAAAAACACGATAAGTGGAAAGGTCAGTATTGCGCTGGTAGAGCAGCACTTGTTAAATGCTCATAACAAATGCTGCTCTTTGTTCTATTTCTTTCATAACGCCTCTGTTAATGTCTTAGTATGACTCATATTCTTTGAGAATTTCTACGAGCATTTACTCCTGAGTTAATTAAGTATACACGAGGTGTGTGGAACACTGAACCTCGCTTGAAAAGGCTCATGATGTTTGCTTAGAATACATATGAGAAGCGTGGGGGCGGAGGTGGGGTTGGAGTCCCGTGCGCGAAAGCGGTACTTTCGCGCGTGGCGCATGGAGCGTGGCACGTGGCACGTGCTCCGCGGGGAGGCACGGCGCGTGCCAGCGCTCTTCGCCACGGAGGCGCGGGGCCCCTGATTTCCACAAGGCCAGTCCTTAAACAAGAACTCCGTGCTGTCCAAGACCCATCACCAGAACCACGGGTGGCACACTTCTAGAGCATGTAGAAGGATCGAAAATGATAACTTTCCGCAGTTTCGTGAAATCTCTACGACTGCAACAGAATGTGATAGCCGAACATAGGTAGCTAAGCAGTTGCCTACAAATTAAGGGAAAATATGTAACTCATTTATATAAAATATGGATACTAATAAATATAAAGAAAAATGTACTTGTTCTTGATACACATTTTTCTTGTTGACTAAATAAA